GCGCCCGGCCTCCTGCCGCCGCTGCTGCTGCTGCTCTGCGCCGCCGCGCTCATCCCTCGAGGTACGGCGTGCGTGTGCAAATGCGTGTGTGCACTGCACTGCATCGCATGAGTGTGTGCGTGTGTGCCATCACGAGTGTGTGTTTCCCGTGTGGTGTGGTGTGGTGCGGTGCGGTGCGGTGCGCCCGTGGGTTTCCCCGTGCTCACCCCACGCCGGGGTGCTGCCTGCCCGAGCGAGCAAGTGAGTGAGTGTGCGAGAGCATCCTGGCACTGCCGCATTTGCCCGTCGGTGCACACTGGAGGCAGCGAGGCGTGCGGGGGGGGTTTGGCCCCGCGGGCAGGACGCCCGGCACCGACCGCGCTCCCGGTCGTGGCACCCGCGCGTGTCAAAGCGGCACGGAAACGCTGTTCCTCGTTACCATGGAAGCGGCTTCTGGCTCGTTACGGGGCTGTCCTCCGTAGCGTTCAAATTACAAAAAAAAAAAAAAAAAGTAATGGGGTTTGCACATGGGTTTACCCCCCCCCCCCAACTCCCCGTGCACAGTCCGGGTGCACGCGAGCGTGCAAGCTTGCCCGGGAAGCCTGCGCGGCGCGCGTGCTGCAGCGGCGGGGCCGCCTCCGCTCCCCGCGATGCATCTGCAAAGTCGGGAGCGGCGGAAAACCTGTTGGTGCCGAAGTGCAACTTCGGAGGGGTTTGCTTTTCTCCGCTCCGCCGCGGCGCGGGTGAACGAGTCCTTCGGCGCAGCCTTTGTCCATCCTCCCTCCAGACCAGCGCGCACACCCGGGGATTGTGTTGGATTAAACGGACGGGGTGGCCCATAAACACGCGTCTGCACCATGGGTCCGGGGGGGGGCTCGCACACCCGCGTGCGGCACGGCCTCTTTGCGTCTCGCGGGCCCCCCGAGTGCCGCCGAGCGCCGGTCGCGCTCCTTCTGCATCGAACCGAGTAGCCGCAGGAGGGACTTGCGCTTGTGCCTGATGGCTTTGATCAAATATCCCTCATTAATGCCACTTTATATTTACAGTGTGTCACGGGAGACGCGCAGAGCTTCATTTACTGACTTGTGCGACAAGAGGAGCTCGCGTTATTTGTCTGGGACGTTTTGGAGGAACAAGAGAGCCATTGAGCCATCTTTTGAATTTCACTAATAGGAAAAGGGGAGGGTTGGGGGGGGGTGAACAGGGATAAAAGAGCAGGCAGTTCTCGGGAACAAAGAGCTTTATTCATGTGTATGTTGTACATGCTTTATCCAGTTTTCCCCTCTTGGGAAGGCGGCGGGGGGAGGAAAACGGGTGTCGCTTTCAGTTCATTATTCCGACTTTGCAGACCCGCTGCTGGAGGTCCGCGTGCTTCCGAGCGGGGCTGCAGCCCCGCGCCGGCGACGACAGGCGCTCGGCGAACGTGCCGTTGACAAACCGGCGGGTGGAGAAGGAAGTCCTAACGACCGCGCAAGTCCCTCCTCCTCCTCCTCCTCCTCCTCCTCCCGGCTCCGCTGTGCTGCAGCTGGAAGCTTTCGCTTGTTGGGAGTAACAGCAGGGCGAAGGAGACGTGCTGCCGGCCTTTTTATTGTAAGAGGGGCAAACAGAGACGGCTCGTAGCGCCAACGCCGGGGCGCTCTGTGCCGTGGTCGTCGTGGTCTTGAGGATAGTTTGTCACCAGATTGATTTTTATTTTTTTCCTCCCTTTCAAACATGCCCGTGTAAAATGGAGCCTGGTTTTGTGTGATGCTGGAGTTTGGCAGTGCTCAGGCTCCTACCTGCTAGGTCTTGGCTCGGTGCGCGGTGAATTGTGCAGTCCTTTTGATTTGGATGCAAAAAAATAAACCCCCCAAACGTTAGCTGAAATAAAAAGCCTTGCATAACGCCACTACGAATACACAGCATCTCATCCTCTCTCCGTCCGTCCTTATACTCCTAATGCCTCATCTCGCCTGTGAAAAAGTATTCTTATTTTTAAAGCCTTGTGCAGTACGACTGTAGGGGAAGGCTGTGAAATGGAGCCCAGGAAATAGCCACAACAGCCTCAATTAAAATGTAGCAGCATTAGCAGCAGCTGAAAAAGGAACGAACGTGAGGGATTCATATACTGCAGTTTTTCAGTTCAAAGAGATGCCTGACCTGTGGGGTGGGCATTTTATTAACTGCAGCGTATAGCAGTAACTGTTGCTGAAAAGGCACCATGCTTTGGGGGACTAATTACCCTCCGTGCTTCAGGTTAGGTTGTCATGAGGCAAGGGGTGAAATACTAGGAAATAATACTCTAGAATTTATTTCAAACACTGTTGTCTTAAAGCTCAAGCATCTATTTATGCTCCATAAAGTTTCATTGCCTGGTAGGAAAAGAGAACCCATGTTATGGCAGTAAACGTTTGGTAACGGCCACAAAGGCTTGTGCCCCCTTCATCTTGGTTAAAACAGGTCGCTTGTCCAAGATACGGCACTGCATTAGTGCAAAACCCTGCTCTTCGGGTGCAATCCTCTAATCGGAGTGCGGAAATCAGGTGTGCGCTTTGGAGCATGTTGTAATTACTGTGCTGAACGATTCGAGCATGGGTAATTGGAATAGGGATAGGTAATGTTAAGACTTGTTTTAAAATAAGCTAGTAACTCTAGATGGATCTCTGCGTTTCTCTAGCACCTTTTTTTTTTTTAATCTGATCTCAGTGCTTCACAGTTAATTAAGCTTTACAATGCCACTGTGAAGTCGGGAAGGAATAGAGAGGATGATTTTCAACTAGCCCTGAAATGCAGTCACCGCTGGGGTGGAACGCAGCAGCTGTCTAGCTGCGCACAACAACACTGCACAGCGGTCTAGAAAGAATAACTTTTCGACTGAAACCGCAGGAGGAACTTGAGAGAGGCAGCGTGTCATTGCCCAGGCTGGATCCGGTCATGACACCCAGGTTAACGATCCTACTGGAAGGAAAGTGCAATGGGATCTTGAATGGCACCAGGGGACCCAAGTTTCCTATCGGTGCCAGGATAAATGCACCTCGTCAGCAAGTGATCTCTCATGGCAGTGGGAATGGGCAGCCATGCCACTGAGAATATGGTTAACTGGACATTTGTAAACAGGGTCCAAGATTGGAAGGAGCTTTTATTTTTTCATAAAGCTTCTATGAGCAAACGAGGGTGTGGGGGAAGAAACTCCTGTCGACTGCTGGTTCAGGGAGACCTGGCATGGAAAGATGCACCGAGATTCTGCACGGTGTGCAAACACCTGAGTAAAGGTGCAAGCAAGCGGCTGGTCAATGAGACATAATAGTCCCTCTAGGTTGTGATGTGGGCTCACCTGGGTCTTTGCATCTTGGCAGCTGAGCAAAAGTTGTCGGCATCATGCGTGGGCGAGGATTGTCAGCGCCTCCTTAGACTGCCGTAAGGTCCGAAGTCTGGAGGGGAGAGGATTAATCGGCTCTAAAGACGAGGCTTTGGTGGAAAGGGGGGTGGGATCTTCATTTTGTGAATGAACTGGGAAATGAATGGCTGATATGTTTGGACCCCTCTGCGCACCGGGATGGGAGCAGTTGCTCGTGCTCTTGTTTCGTTTCCTGGAGGACCTCGGTCCGCCGCGTCCTTTGTCCAGAGCATGGGCTGGAAACCGGAAGAGCAGCTGCATCACTTCTTTAAACCGTAGCCCATTATCAGCATCTGGACATCAGTGTTCTGCTGCTGCTTTTATTGTTGGTGTTTTGCTCTGTCTTATTGGGTTGTGTAAATAAAGGAGCAGTTTCTATCCAGCAGCTCTGACTCAGTAACTAAAGATGGCTTGGCTTGGCTTCCTCAGGGCTGTGCCAGACCTCTGAACATGTTGTGTCGGGGCAGCAGTAGACAGACATCCTCTCTGTCCTCCTGCTTAATTACAGTGGCATCTCTAAAAGCAGATCAGCTTTCAACTCTGTGCGCGAGAACCTGTACTTCGAATGCAGTTGGTTTTAGATTAGTCTCTTCGGTGGGCCAGGTAGGCGCTCTTAACATCCTCCTGTCCATCGCAAGGTGCCTTCCCGATGGCTTCCCAGGTCAGCAAGACTTACCTGTAGACCTTGTTTAGCATCTCTGGATTTTGAGCAAAACGCATGGGCACGCTTCGGTGTCCGTCTCGGACTCGCGCGCTCTGATGCAG